GGGGGAGGGGAAGGGGGTTAACTGCTCTTTTCAAGACCACAAGAAACTGCAGAGAGTCATGAACACAGCCCAATCCATCACGCAAACCAGCCTCCCATCCATTGACTCCATCTATACTTCCTGCTGCCTCAGAAAAGCACCAACTGAGGTGTGAGACCCCTCCCATCTCAATTATATTCTCTTCCATCCTCAGCCATCCAGCAGAAGACATAAAAGTTTGAATACATATACAAACAGATTCAAGAACAGCTTCTTCCCACTTTTATCAGATTTTTGAATGGACCTCTCAAATGTTAATGTTGATCTCTCTCTCTGCATCTTTTTTTGCATTTGTAATAATGTATTCTGCAATCTGTTCTGCTACCCTGATGCACTTTATATGGTACAATATGCATGTAGAGCATGTAAGATAGTACTTTTCCCTATATCTTGGTACATGTGACAACAATAAATCAAATCAAATCAAATCAGACAAAGGACAGGGAGTTGACGCAGACTTTAATTGAACAAACCCTTTTTAAAATTAACTCTTTGGTTACCATAACTTAATATTAAACATACATTTGTAGTAACAGCTACATCTTACTTCATCTAACTTAATTTCAACTTTAACTCAATTCATTCAACTTCACTTTACCTTACTTTAACTTAATTCACATTTAACCCCAACTCTCACTTTAACTCAATAAGTTTGATTTGAAACAAATAACACCCTGATTTGAGTGCACTGGCCAACTTTTGCTTTTGTTGTTGATCTTGCCTCATCGTTCCTTGTCTTCTCTGAAGATAACTTCAGGCTATTTTTAAATATTGGTCTTGATGGCTCACTTCTGTAAAATCCTTTGTTCCAGTAACTTTTATCCCAAAGTATGCTCATTCTTCCAGAAACGTCTCTGGCACTCAGCCATTCAATTGACCAAACCTGATCGCACTATTCAATCTCAGTCAATGGAGTTTACTAGTAAACAACTCCCAAGTGGTTATACCAAGTCATAAGCAGCCACATACCATATTCCATATGAGGTAATATGGTGTCAGTATGTCCAGCAGGCCACTATGACACGTCCCTTAGTTGGTCAACACAGGAAACTGCAGGTCACAGCTGACAGGACAGGTCACAACATATGTGTGACAACAAGGTGCAGGGCTGGATGAACACAGCAGGCCAAGCAGCATCATAGGAGCAGAAAGGCTGACGTTTCGGGCCTAGACCCTTCATCAGAAAATGGGGAGGGGAAGGGGGTTCCGAAATAAATAGGGAGAGAGTGGGAGGCGGATAGAAGAGGGATAGAGGAGAGGATAGGTGGAGAGGAAACAAACAGGTCGAAGAGGCGGGGACTCGGTCACAACATATCCTGGCTGCAGCTTTACCTGAGGTCAGATTTTAAACTAACTTGATCAAAGTTCCCAGCATGCTTGATTGTATTCTTAACTAGTCTTTTGTAGCCATTTCTCCTCCTGGCCACCTGACCACACCTGGGACTTTGATGGGCATCCTTCTGGTAGCAGTCACAGCCCCCTCAGTGGCACTGCTCAGTGCAAGAGCAGGTGCACTTTCCACTGCCTGATTTAAATGTGATTTAATTGACCTTCTGAAAGGAGGCTGTGAAGTTTGCTGCTGGCAGGTAAGACCCATAACACCACAACAAGATCCTGCCCACAGTAACTATGATGTAGGAAACAAAACCAACCAACTGAGCTTTCAAGAACAGTAATGCAATAATGATCAGATGAACTATTTTTAATTTATTGTGTTAACGTAGAGTGATAGTATCATAAAATGATCACAGCACAGAAGGAGACCATTCAGCACATTGCGCCTGATAGAAATCTGGCACAGACACAATTTGACTAGTGCCACTCTCCAACCATCTGTACATATCCCTGTACATTATTCTTTTTTCGGAAAAGTGCAATTTTCTTTTGAATTTTTCAGTCAAGCCTGCTTCCAACATCATCTCAGATAATGCATCTTTTCTCTATGGAAAACAACTTTTCCAATTTATCCACATGGCTGACATTTTGATCTCTAGAATCATTATTGTGCAACTTTACTGTACCCTTTCTTAATACATCCTTCTCAAGTGTGGTGCCCAGAACTGGATGCTCTACTCCAGTTATGGCTGATGCAATGTTTTATGCAAGCATAACAAACTTCCTTGCTTTTATACTTCATATCCCTGCTGATAAAAGCTTGGATGTTTTATTAAACATGCTCTCAAGTTGTCTTGTCAGCTTCAATGTTTTGTATGCATACAAAGCAGGCGTCTCTGTTCTTAGCCCTTTCAGAAATGAATCTTTACTTTATATTGTCTCCTTGCATTCTTTATTTCAAATATTATCTCAATTTTTAAAATTAAGTTTCATCTGCCACTTGTCCATCGATTCTATTAACTCGAGTTTGTCCTCTTGACGTTCCATATTTTCCTCCTTACAGTTCAGTATATTTCCAAGTTTTATATTGTCTTGACATTTTAACACTGTACTGTACACTTAGATCTCGATCATTTGGCAAGAAGAGGGTCTTAACACTGACAAAAAGTGTAATTTTTGCAACAACTTGCCAGTACTTATGAGTCTAAGGAAGATTGAACAGTTCTTTTCAGGCCTTTTTCAATTTCCACTTGCACTTCCTGAGCACATTGGATTCAGTTCATCCAGTCCTAGTCCCTTATTAACTTTAAATATCGACAGCTTACCCAATGCTGCCTCCTAATTAATTTTTATTGAGTGATAAATGGCAACTGTGGGATAACTTCCCTAACAGTTTTCAAAATGGTGGCATTAGATTTTGTGTATCCCCTGAGGGGTTAGCTGGATCGTTGGTTTAATATCTCACCTCTATACCGCAGTACTTGGAGCCACAAGTATCTGACTCATTGGGAAGTGTTATTTCATGCCATAACATTTCTATCAGCCTCTTCAATGGCCTGATCATGTAATCTAGCACGGGGGCTCTGGCACGAAGGTATTGTCTCTACCTCTGAGCCAGAAGATCTGTTCTTATTGATTGATTGATTTATTGTCACATGTACTGAAATACAGTGAAAGGCTTTGTTTACGAGTGTTACAGGCAGATCACAGCAAGCAAAGGATGTACAGATCAAAAGAATTAGAGGCACACAGGTTACATTGCAGGTTAGATTATTGGAGGCTACAGTCCATTCAACAGTCTGATAACGGCCAGAAAGAAGCTGTTCCTGAACCTGCTTGTGCGTGTGTTCAGGCTTCTGTGTCTTCTCCTTGACAGAAAAGGTTGTAGGAGGTCATTACCAGGTGCGATGGGTCTTTGATGATGTTGACGGCAGTGAGCTGTGTAAATAGAGTCCATGGATGGAAGGTTGGCTTCCGTGATGGTCTGGGCTGTGCACACCACCTCCTGTAGTTTCTTACTGTCCTGGGCACAGCACTTGCCATACCAGGCCATTACGCACCCGGACAGTATGCTTTCAATGGTGCATCTGTAGAAGTTGGTGAGGGACCTTATGGACGTGCCAAATTTCCTGAGCTACCTGAGGAAGAAGAGGTGTTTTTGTGCTTCTTGACTGTCACATTTACATGGGAGGTCCAGGACAGGTCATCTCTTAGCGTCACTCCGAGGAACTTGATGCTCTTCACTCTCCCAACCTCAGTTCCGTTAATGTAGATGGGGGCATGTTCTCCTTCTTTCTTTCTGAAGACGATGATCAGTTTGTTAGTTTTGCCGATGTTGAGAGATAGATTGTTTTCATTGCACCATGTCACCAAGCCCTCTATCTCCCTTCTGTACTTTGACTCGTCGTTGTTAGATATCTGTCCCACTACAGGGATCTACAAGTCAGCAAACTTGTAGATGGCATTCGTTTGGAATTTAGCAACACAGTTGTGGGTGTATAGGGGGTACAGTAGGGGGCTGAGGACGCATCCTTGGGGGGGCTCCAGTGTTGAGTGTTATTGTGGAGGAGGTGCAGTTACCTTTCCTCACTGATTGTGGCCTATGGGTCAGAAAACTGAGGATCCAATTGCAGAGGGCGGAGCTGAGACCAAGGTCACACAGTTTTGGGATGAGTCTGGAAGGGATAATGGTGTTGAAGGCAGTGCTGCAGTCAATGTGCAGAAGTCTGATGTAGGTGTCTTTGATGTCCAGTTGTTCCAGGGATGAGTGCCGGGCTGGGGATATGGCATACTCTGTGGACCTGTTATGTCAGTAGGCAAATTGTAGGGGATTGTAGCAGGTTGGGAGACTGGAGTTGATTTGGGCCATGACCAGCCTCTCGAAGCACTTCACGATTACTGAAGTCAGAGCTATTGGGCAGCAGTCATTAAGGCACACTGCATATGTTTTCTTGGGTACAGGGATGAAAGCGGTCTTCTTGAAGCAGGTGGGGCCTTTGGCTTGTAGGACGGAGAGATTGAAGATGTCGATGAATACCACCACCAGTTGGTCCGCACAGGATCTGAGTGCTCGGCCGGGGACACCGTCCGGGCCCATCACTTTCCTTAGGTTGACTCTCAGGAAGACTGATCTGACTTCTGAAGCTGTGACCGAGGGAACAGTTGTGTCAAGGGCTGTCGGGGCAGGTGTCGCCACGCCGGTGGTATTCTACTCAAACTGAGCATGTCTCACCCATCACAGACTGTGTGTCAAAACATGTCTACGCAGGTTGATTAAAATATCTGTAGTCTATCATGCAATTAAGGGTCTCAGTTCAATTCCTGAGTGAGCTGGGTTCAAGTAAAGTACCACAATTACTTTTAATGTTTCTATTCTAGGAAACATTCTATCCTATTCTGGTTCATGGAAAATGAACTAGCACTCCTTCTTCTAATTTCTAACATTCCTGCATAGAAACTGCATTAGGAGCTAATTGCTTCATCTGACTCTGTTACAGAGACCAACAGTGATCACTGAAGCACAAAGAAAGACATCACAGAAATGTGCTCCTGCCTGTAACATTTCATAAAGTAAAATATTATTGTCCATTGTATAAGTTCAGTAATTGGCAAAATTAAAGGGACACTTACGTGAGTCTTTGGCTGGTGACATGTGATTTAACCTGTCTGGAGACAGTAAGCATTTCTCCTCATCCACAAATTCAAAGTTTATGATGAACATTATGACCACACCTTCTTCATTTTTCACTGGAATTATGTGAGTGTTGCACAAAAATGTTGATCCTAAATAATAGAAAAGAAAAAGACGTTTAATTTCTCCAAGAAAGACTGAATAAAATACATCGTTGAGAATGGCTTTGTGAATGTTAATTTAATTTTGTCTAAATAAAAAAAAAATCCTCATTAGGCAAATGATGATGGATTGTTGTAGTAATGCTGTTTGAACACTAAAAGATGTGTATGAAAGTAATTTAGGAATAATTAAAAACTGCTTTTGCTAGAATTATGAATTTCAACAGATTTTCTTACGGTTTCAGAGAATTACAGAGAATTCTTCTTGTTAACGTCCACTTCTGAAATGAATGGTGAGAATCGTTTTGATTACATGTCTGACTGATGAGTCATAGACTTAGCTATCTTCATGCTCATTGTGTATTTTAAAGATATGCCTGCAGGACACACTTATCTGATCTACACTGTCAAATTGTAATAGAGTTTTTATAAAGTACAGCAATCTTTTGATTCGGGGTTCAGCATTTTTATTCAAATCTCAGTGGTTTACAAGTTCTTTGTGGAGTTGAGTCCTTTTCAAGGCAGCATGCAATATAATCTTTGTTTTATGATTTAAGAAGAAGATTTAGAATTTGTACTGCACATATGGTTTAGCTAATAGTTAGTTGCAAGATGTTGTGATGTGTCACAATGGCACGAATCACAGTATTTCCATTTTGTACCATGTTTCCTCATAAAAGGTGAGAAATTTTATTTTATCTGCATGGATGTTCAATTCATAGTGACATTCAAAATATTGTTATTATATCTAGTTTCTTCATAGTTGTCCATTATTTCAACTTTATTAATAATTTTGTTAGTCCAACTGCATGTATACTTATCAAATTAATTGAGTTACATCAGCTGAGAATGCGAGCACATTCAATAGGAAATTATGAACACATAGTTATTGAACTGAAGTAGACCATTCAGCTTCTTGAGCCTGCTCCACCATTCAAATGATCATAGCTGATCTGTTTGTGTTTCTAATTTCACTTTCCTATCTACTCCTAATAAATATTGATTTCCTTTGCTAACAAGAATCTATCTCTGCTTTAAAAATATTCAATTATCTCAAAGTCTACTGCCTTCTGAGGCAGAGAATTCCAAAGCTGTCTAACCCTCAGAGAAAACAATTCCGCTCATATCTGCCCTAAAATGGTGACGTCAAATTTGTTAATGCTTTTAAAGAAGCAAGCAGTACTACTTATTTCAGTATAATTATACTATTTCCACTAAAAGGGACAGAATCTTTAAGCTTATAACCAAAGTCGCGCACCAACTGCGGTAGGATCACTCAATGCATTGGAAGCATGGACTTCTACAAATTATTTGCAAGTTAAGTTCGATATGAAATACAGTTGTGAAGTTACAAGGATAATTGCCTTTTCTAAACATGTTAACTTTGTAATTGTGTATCATACAGTTGCTGCAACAAGTTTATCATTAATGTATTTATTAAAAAGGGTATTTCAATTCCACCAACATGCAATTGGATAAAATCAGTTATGGAATAGAATAGAATCCCTATATTGTGGATGAGTGCAGTTGGCCTGTTGAGTGCACATCGACCCTCTGAAGAGCATCCCACCCAGACCCACCCTGTCTCTGTAACTCTGCATTTCCCACGGCTAATCCCCTTGCCTGAACATCCCTGGACACTATGGACAATTTAGCATGGCCAATCAACCTAGCTTGCACATTTTTAGACTGTGGGAGGAAACTGGAGCACCCAGGGGAAACCCGCGTTATAACTGCAGTTCACATCACGTAGGAGCACCTGCAAGAAGGCAGTCTTTTTCAAGGCAACTAGGGATGGACAATAAATCTAGGCCTGACCAGCAATGCCCACATCTGGAGAATGAATTTTAAAAATGGAATTTCAGTTCAACTTATGCAAATTACTCATAAACACCTATCATTGGTGTATGACTAGTCATTTCTATTTGGCAATGAAATACTGGCTGAAACAGAATAAAATTGACCTGTGTGGATATTTCATAGGCCAAAGTCTTATCGTTTTTGTATCATTGCATTGAAATTGGAATTTAAGTTGAGAGCTGTGCATCAGGAAAGTTCAGAAGTCTTGACAAACATACATACTCTGAAATTGCTCATTGTTTAAACTTCTACTGGGTTGATTTCCACTGAACCTTCCATGGTACTGAGCCGGCTTATGTCAAAGATGTGAGATTCCCTGGCATAGTTTACCCTGGAAATGCTAGGCTGATTAACAACACATCCAACAAAGAGATCGTCCAGTGTAACTGAAGCAGCAAAACTCTGATGGATACTATAGCTTTAAGAGGTGTATTGTGTCCTGGTTTTGTCCTTCAGGATTGTCATTTCAGCTAAGGGGAACAGCTGCTTCTTGTCCATACCCCTCCTAATCTTAAGTACCTCAATCAGGACCCCCTCAGCCTTCTCTGCTCTAAAGAAAACAATCCCAACTTGTCCAGGCTCTCTTCATAGCTAGAATGTTCCAACCCAGGCAACATCCTTGTGAATCTCCTCTGTATTCCCTCCAGTGCAATCTCACCCTTCCTATAGTGAGGAGACCAGGACTACACATAGTATTCCAGCTGTGGCCTAAACAAACCTTTGCACACCTGGGCTTTTTTTTACAGTGAATACTTGTAATATTCTGGTTAAACCAGAACAACAGTATTGGATCCAGGTCTGGTCACTACATTTTTAGGAAAGATATGAGTGTCTGTGAGAGAATTTAACAGATCTTTACCAACTTAGTTCCAGAGTGAGAAAATTTTACATGTATGGATCTTTTTATTGGCTAATGAGCCTGGCCAAGTGACTGACCTTTCGGTGGGACAGCATTTTGGTAACAGTGACTTAAGTTTTAAGAAAGCTCAGAACAAGGATAAGTCAGGACCTTGCGGGAAGGGGGAGGGCAAATTATGTCAGTATTAGGCAGGAGCTAGGGCGTGTTAATTGGGAGGAGCTGTTATCAGGCAAGTCCATGATTGACATGTGGAAATTGTTTAAAGACCTGCTGGGGAGAGTTCAAGACATGTTCCAATATGGAGGAAGGACAAGGATGGCAAGGTAAGGGACCCTTGAATAATGAGGGAGGTTGTGAATTTAATCAAAAGGTAAAAAAGAAGCATATATAAGGTTTACGAAGCTGAAATCAGACAGGGCATGTGAGGAATATAAAGAAAGCAGGAAAGTACTCAAGCAGGGAATTAGGAGGGCAAGGTAGGGCCTTGAAATGATCTTAGCAAATAGAGTTAAAGAGAATCCCAAGGCATTGTACACATACATTAAAAGCAAGAGGATAACTATGGAGAAGGTTAGACCACTCAAAGATAAAGGAGGGAACTTGTGCTTGGAGATAACACAGTGTGGAGCTACAGGAACACATTAGGGTCAGGCAGCATCAGAGGAGCAGGAAAGGTGACATTTCGGGTCAGGACCCTTCATCAGGACTGTTGAAGGGTCCCGATCCGAAACATCGACACTTCTGCTCCTCTGATGCTGCCCGGCCTGCTGTGTTCCTCCAGCTCCATACTGTGTTGACTCCGACTCCAGCATCTGCAGTTCTTGCTATCTCTGACTAACTTGTGTTCGGAGGCAGACAATGTGGGTGAGATCTCAAATGAGTACTTTTCCTGGGTGAATACTGATGCAAATGATACGGAGGATAGTGAGATATATGTGAAGCATGCTAATAAGCTAGGGCATTTTGAGATCAAGAAAGAAGTGGTGTTGAATTGCTTGAAGAGCATCAAGGTGGATATGATATCTCACCAGGGCCCAATAGCATCTACCCAAGGTTATTGAGAGAGGCAAGAGAGGAGATTGCTGGGGCCTTGACCAAGATCTTTGTATCCTCGCTAGCCACTGGAGAGGTCCCGGAGGACTGGAGAGTAGCTAATGTTGTTCCTCTGTTCAAGGAGGGAAATAGGGATAGTCCAGGAAACTACAGACCAGTGAATTTCAAATTGGTGTTTGGGAAGCTGTTGGAAAGAAGTCTTAGGGATAGGATTCACACACTTTTGCAAAAGTATGGCCTAATGAGGGACAGTCAGCATGGTTTATGCAAGGCAGGTCATGTCATACTATTTTGATTGAATTTTTCGAGGAGGTGATGAAAGTGATTGATGAGGGTAGAGCAGTGGATGTTGTTTAATGGATATTAATAAGGCTTTTGACAAGGTTCCTCATGGATGTCTCATCCAGAAGATTAAGGTGCATGGGATCCGCAGTGATTTGACCACATGGATTCAGAGGATGAAAAAGAGGTTAACCAGGATGCTGCATGATTTAGAGGGTAGGATTTATGAGAGTCCAGAAAAACTCCGGTTATTTTCTCTTGAGTGGCGCAGGCTGAGGGGAGACTTGATAGAAATATACAAAATTATGAGATGCATAGATTGGGAAAAAGATTCAGACCATCAACCCTGAGTTGAAATGTCTAATACTAGGGGGCATGCATGTAAGGTTAGAGGGGGAAGTTCAAAGGAGACATGAGAGACAAGTTTTTTTTTACACAGAGACTGGTAGGAGTCTGGAACTGCCAGGGGTTGTGGTGGAAGTAGATACAATAGAGGCATTTCAGGGACTTTTAGGTAAGCACATCAATATGCAAGGAATGGAGGGATATGGACCAATGGCAGGTAGAAGGGATTAGTTTCATTTGGCATCACATTTGGCATAACATTGTGGACCAAAGGCCCCTTTCCTGTGCTGTACAGTTCTATGTTCTATGGCTGGTTTGGAGTTAGAGTAAAGGAGTTCGAAGGAGATTTATCAGATCAGATCAAAGTTATGATAAATTATGATAAGGTAGGCACAGTCAGTTTTCTCTTTAGCTGAAGGATTAGGAGACACAGATTTAAAGTTTTGGTCAAAACATCTGGGGTGATGTGAGGAAGAAGTTTATTATGGAACAATGACGTGAAACTTGCTGTCTACCCAAGGTGGTGGAAGTGGAGGCAATCATTATTATCAAAAGGAAATATACTGTTGCCATACTGTCAACATACTGCTAA